TCAGTCGATTGTTCAGGCAACCCAGAAGCAAATCGTTAAGAGTGATTACGATAATGAGCAACGCATTCACGAGCAAGATTATGTGAAAGATTCCGATATTGAGCAACGTATTCAGAGTGAGAAGGACAAATTGAAGTCGTACGCATCGAAAATTGACCGTTTACGCAAGGAATTGTCGATAATTGAACATCAGCAAGAGATTGCGAAATTGAATTTGAGCCTTTTGGAAGTGACTTTGTCCGAAACGAATTCCGAGTGTGACCCTTCAGCAACCAAAACAGCCGCTTCAAGTGGCAAATCGATCAACACCTCTGTTCCGAATCGTAAGCCAAGTGAGAAACCGATTCAGAAATTGCCCAACACATCAAGTGGCTCACAAGTTCAGAGCATGTCCGACGTTCAGTGCTTTAACTGCTCAGATTACGGTCATTATTCAGCAAATTGCACCAAGAAACGCCGTGTAAAGGGTTCCTGTTTCAATTGTGGATCATTGCAACATATTCTGAAGGATTGACCATCGAAAGCGAGCACCAGTGGAGCCCGTTCAGCCAACCAATTCCGACCGTACAGATTGACAAAGAGCACCGTTCAGCACGATTCCGATTCAGAGTGGAGCAATTAGCTAACCAATTCAGATTTTCGTAATTTTTTTACTTTTCTTTTAGCGATTACACAACTAGGCTCGAAACATTATCATTAGATTTCGACGTGTAATAATTTAAATCCGGTAATTTAATTTGTTTTTCCTTTCAGTTCAAATAATTCAGTTCAGATGAATTTTTTAAGATATAAGTTTCATTTTCTTAGATTGACTTGAGAATAATTTTCAGAAATGTTATTTTTGTTAGTTAAGGAAATTTCGGATTGCATTCAGATTCATTTTAAATTGATTTGGAAATTGATTCGAACATTGCAGACAATTTATATTCAGACATTTTATTTTTTTCAGTTAAGCGAATTTATATTAATAGTTATTTCAGAAATTGGTTAAGTAAATTAAGTTAAGTCAGATTCAATTCTAATTCCAAAATTTTTTACGCACATAATTCAGAAATGTTGCTTTTGGTTAACCCTCTGATCGTTTGTCGGGTGTACAACGCCCGAGGCGAATTTGAACCTCGAATAAAAGTACCGAAAAACGAAAAAATCACATTGAAATAGGTACCATTCGATAGCTTGAACCTTTAGCTATACGTCAGTGAAATTTCATGTGCATATGTGTAAGAATGTGTGAGATATTGCCTCCCACAACACATGTGCGCGCGTTCGTTTCTTGGGGCGTACGACAGATATCGCTTTTCTCTTATCAGTTCCGCGAAAAACCGCGAAAACGCAAATATTCGGTTTTCCATTTATCACGGAACTGATAAGAGATAGTTGATATCTATCTTCAACAAAGCTGTAGAGCAGATTGAGTTCTACAACTTTGCTCAAGCAACCAAGTCATTATCTCTTATCAGTAACGCGAAAAATGATAAGAGAAATCTCGCGTTTTTCGCGGTTTTTCGCTTAACTGATAAGAAATAACGAAATAAAGCATGTGGAAAATTGTAGTACTTGTGGTCCTGTACAACTTTGCTGAAAACAGATGTCACTTATCTCTTATGAGTCAAGCAAAATTTTTTTATCAAAAACCAAATATGGTGGGAGATCTTTCGCGGTTTTTCGCGTATATTGCGTAATTGATAAGAGATAAGCGATATCTGTTTTCGGCAAATTTGTAGTGCCGGCTGAATACTACAACTTTGCCGAAGACACCAATTCGTTATCTCTTATCAGTTACGCGAAAAACGCGAATTTTCTCTTATCATTTTCCGCGGAACTGATAAGAGATAAGGAGATGGTGTCTTCAAAAAATTGTAGTACTTGACTTGATCTACAACTTTGCTGAAGGCACTCATCATTTATATCTTGTCAATTCCGTGAAAAATGAGGAGCCGAAAATTCACGTTTTCGCGGTTTTTCCCGTATTTCGCGGAACTGATAAGAGACAAGCAATATGTGTCTTCAGCAAAGTTGTAGAGCGGGTTAAGTACTACAACTTTGTCAAAGACACTAAGTCGCTCTCTCATATTACAATCAAGTTTTTATACAAAATGCACTTGGGGCGCAAGGTGTAAACGCAACAAACGATCAGAGGGTTAAGAAATGTTATTTTTTTAGTTAAGAAAATTTCGTGTTGCATTCAGATTTATTTTATTGATTCGGACATACTTTAAGTTAAGCAAATTTTAAATTGACTTTGGTTTCAGAAATTTTGTTGAATGAATTTTAGAGTAAGTCAGATTAAATTTTAATTCCGAAAGAAATTTTTTTACATTGAAATATCGCACATAATTCAGTCATTTTGAATTGCACAATTGATTGAGACAATCAAATCTAAAAGGTTCCGAAGTGAAGAGGACCAAAGCATTCAAGTGCTATTAAGATTAAATGTTATTAAGTTGAAAGAAACATTGTGATTAAGATTGCGAATTGATATTGTGGATTAAGAAATAATAATTGAACATTGTAATAGTGATAAGAATTCTTCTGAAAAAATTAATTGATTGAAGGGGTCGAGCTGTAATAGGCTTAGAATAAGTGTAAAGCCGCCTTAATAGTCCCTTCAGTATTCAGTAGTAGCTATGTGTCGTTCACAGAGTGAATGTAAACAAATTCTGAATGGCTACGTCGTCCGAAGGGAATTTCACCGATTGTAATTGGGTATTTCCTACGAATAATGATTTTTATAAATGAATACCTACTAGATCGAAATTATTTATTTTAATCGAAGTAGATAAGTGAAATTTTGTGTCGGATCAGAACAGAGAAAGCATTGAAGCGAATAGGTTTAAAATCTTTGGTCAATTTTAATTTTTTAAGCTGGAAAGAAAAATTGGAAATGGATCGGAGATTAATGGTTATTGATCCCGAGTACGTGTCGCCACGAGAAATGGAGCGAAGGATAGTTTTCATCTGCCGTGAATGTGATTCCTATGTCGGGACGGTGGATTCGTAGGATTTTCTTCGCAAAAGTTTTGAGGGATTTTTTCATGAAAAGATACATTTATTTCAAAATAAAATGAATGAGTACATCAACCAATGTATTGGCCATCGTTAGCTATGACTTCTAGCCATCTTTCTGGCAACTTGTGGATTCCTCGTTTGAAGAAGTCCTCATCTTTTAGGCTATCCAGTCATCGATCCATTTTCGCACTTCTTCAACATTTTGGAATCGTACATCGGACAGGGCGATTTGTATCGAACGGAACAAATAGTAGTCAGAAGGAGCAAGGTCTGGAGAGTACG